CACACACATATATCCCATATATACACACACATATATCCCATATATACACACACATATCCCATATATATACATACACATTATCCCATATATACACACACACATATCCCATATATACACACACATATATATCCCATATATACACACACACATATCCCATATATACACACATATCCCATATATATACATACACATATATCCTATATGTATACACACGCACATATCCCATATATATACATACACACATATCCCATATACATACATATGCATATATCCCGTATATATATACATATCCCATATATATACATACACACATATCCCATATATATACACACGCACATATCCCATATATTTACAAATGCATATATCCCATATATACACATACGCATATATTCCATATATATACATACATATATATCCCATATATATATATACATACACATATATCCCAGTATGAACTGGGTTAGACTGGGACCTGGGGTGTTGATGCCGGAAAGCAACAGGGAAGCGTCATCTGCAGAGAAGACAGACCACAAGAACATAGACCTCAAGACATGGGCTTGCAGAGACCTGGGGGTCCCGGGCTTGGTGTGTGCCTCTTGGTTGATCTACCCCCAACTCTGCGCCAGGTGCCAGTGAAGCCCCAGGACTCTGTTCTTGCTCACTCATGTTTGCTGAGGATGCCTCTGTCGTTCTGCTGATGTGGCCTCTTTGGACGACCCTGAGGATGACAAGGTTCACCACATTTTACATCCTACAAGGTTCATGGTGCCAACACGTTTCAGATTGAGAAGCCATGAATCAGGGACAGATGAGGTCTGATTGACCTCAAATCTGGGTCTCTTTTGAGACAAGGTGTGTGGGTACTGTGGCCATCATAGTACTGATCAAAGCCTGTCATGGTCTTCCCATGGGGAAGGGGGGTGGGTGGCTCTGAGGCTGTGGGAATGATAAAACCTTCTCTTTGCTGAAATGAGCCCCATAGGAGGCCAGGGCCACTCTCCTGCCTCCCTAGACAGCCATGCTTCTCCATGACACTGGACCCAGGTAGCCTGGTGACCCACCACAGGAGGGAGCCTGAAATTGGGGAGCATCAGTGAACTCTCAAGATCACTCACTCTGACACTATCCCCACCTTGGCTCCTCTTGGTTAGGGAAAATAGAAACATTTTTATTCTGTAAGATAGAAATTCCTAAACATTTTTTTATTGAACACTCTCTCTATTTGTGTGTATTTACTAAGAAATCACACATCAAGCTGTTGTATTTTGGATACTAAATGTCTCCAGCTAGGTTAAAGAATTGGTTTCCAGAGTGTTGGTTTTTAGAGGTGCTGTGGGCCTTTAAGGGATGGGGCCTAGTAGGAGGTTTTTTATCGTGGGAGAACATATAGCCTGGAAAGGGATTGTGGGTTCCCAATCTCTCCCCCTCCCCTCTCTGCTTCTTGACTCATGAAGTGACTGTCCTTCTTCCCGCTCTCTCGTTGTGTTCTCTTGCCACAAAGACCACTGGGCTAGAATTTCCAAACCATGAGTCAAACCTCTTCTCCTTACAGCTATCACTGGCGCTTTGGTAGAGTGAGAGAATGTAGTCTCACACAGTGGCTGCTTGTGTGGACATATTATTGGCCCTCCCAAAAATACAAGATACACACATTCCTGAGGTCTACGTGGCCTTGGCAGGGTGACCAGTGTATCACAAAATAACCAGAAGACAGGAGTTTAAAGGTTCCCAATACAAAGGCCAACTCATTACCCTGACTTCACCATCACACATGCGCTACACGTACCACATTACCATATTGCACCCGATAAACACACCATTACTATGTGCCAACTTAAACTCAAGGGATGAGATAATTACACAGAATAATGAACTAAAATGCTGTAGTTTTAAAGAATGCCTTCCTTCCTTCATGGGTTGTTTTGTATGTCCTAGGCATAATTTCAAGTTGGAATTCCTGTCACCTGCGACCAGATGACTCTTGACAAGGGAGGTAGAGATATTTGTCTCCTTGTCCTCAACACTAGCCTGAGGTGCATTAGGACAGTGAGCTTGCAAACACTCCTCAGTAAATACATGTTGAAATAAGTGCTTTGTGCTCCGCTGTAGCCAGGAGACCTTGGGAAGCTACTTTGAGCCTCTCTGTCCTCAGCAGCGACTTCTGTAAGGACAGGTTGACAAGATCTGCTTATCCCCAAGAATGAATGGGCTGGGAAAAGGCAGGAGTTATTGGCCTCACCTCCTGGGCCTGGTGCAGCGGCTCGTGTCTTCAGGTTGGGTACATGAGTCCCCAGTGTTCCTTGACCGGGGCATTGATTTCCTTTTTTAAGGATGAAGTATGAGGATGGAGATCTAAGGGAGTCAATGAGGAAGAAGTGGCTACCACTGCCACCACCACCTCTGAGTATCCCCTGGAAGGCGACATGGAATTTATTGGGTCAGGTGGAACTGTCAGCTCTGTGACTTCACAGACCGCTTGGATGGAGGACCCATCCTCCAGCTCCAGAACTTCCCCTCAGAGGACTCCATAGTGACTGGCTTTCCATTTTGAAGATGTGAAGGTTGAAGCTGTAAGCCAGGGAGGGCCATGCCAGGGCAGAGGTTGGGCAGAGGTAAGAATGCAGGTGCCCATTATCAAGTCTCCCTCCCTGCTCTTAAGACTTTTTGCTGCCCTAAGCTTCCTGGGCTTACTGCCTTTTCAGGCTGCATGTGAGTTGATTTTCTTTGCTTTTTTAAATGTTCTTTTCATGTATTCTTTGTGTCTTTCACATCATGCATCTTGATCCCATTCGTCTCCCCGCCCCTTCGTAACCACCCCCCTGACCTTGCAACCCCCTCTTAAAATAAATTTTAAGAGAAAATAAAGAGAAAACTTTTGTTGTGGAAGCTGTGCTGTGGCTCAGTGACTCATACAGTATAGTATATCCTTTAGTTCATGTATTTTTCTTGCAAGTGTCCATTGCAAAGAGTCATTGGTCTGGTATAACAGCATCTGGTTTCGGCTACACCGCCAATACTGGGCCCTCACTGAGACTCTTCTTGGATAGCCTATTGTTGCCCTGTGTTGTGGAGATCCTGCAGCTTTAGATCTACAGGACATATCCTTTCGTGTGCTCCAGAAGGTCGTAGATGGAGTGGGTATTGGGGTAGACCAACTCATAACCCTCGTTCCAGGCCTGGGTAGTTTCAACTTGGTCAGCCCGCCAGCTCTCTTCCGTCCTCACCACCAGGGTGAGTTCTCTCTGGTCATTGCCCTGACCAGTTCACCCTATGTAGCAGTGAAAAAGGCCTGGACCAGTTTCACGCCCTCAGGACCAGCTCACCAACACCTACACCACCAGGGTCAGCTCTACTGTGTTGTCCAAGCGAGGTGCAAGGGCCACTCTCCCGAGTGCTGCAGCTGTTAAGGGATAGGGACAACTCTCCTCCTCTTATGACCCCAGGGTCAGCTCTCCTACCTGACACAGGTGGCGAGGGCCGGGGGGGGGATCTCTCCCTTGCCCATGCCACCATATGGCATGTGTAGGGCAGAGCCAGATTTCCCACCCTCATGTTCTTTTTTAAATTTTTTAAAACAGCCTTATTTTATATACCAATCCCAGTTTCCTCTCCCTCCCATCTTCCCACTCCCTCCTCCTTCCCCCCACCCCACTCCCATCCACTCCTCAGAAAGGGTGAGGTCTCCCATGGGGAGTCAACAAAGTCTGTCACATCACTTGAGGCAGGACCAATGCCCTCCCCCCTGTATCTAGACTGAGCAAGGTATTTCTCCATAGGGAATCGGCTCCAAAGAGCCAGTTCATGCACGAGGGATACATATTGGTTCCACTGCCCCATGCCACACAACTGTCACCCACATTCGAGGGCCTACTTTGGTCTTATGCTGGTTCCCCAGCTGTCAGTCCCAGGCCAGTGAGCTTCCATGAGCTTGAGTCAGCTGTTTCTGTAATCAGATTGATGACTACCTTGATTATCATCATAGAACCTTCTGGAAGCAGATGCAGAGATCCACAGCTGAGCACTGGGCCGAACTCCAGGAGTCCAGCCATAAAGAAGGAGGAATGATATCGTGAGCAAAGGGGCTAACGCCCTCATGTTGATGGTCCCGGCTTCCCTGTGCCCCCATGGACAGGGTCAGCTCTACTGTGTTGCCCAGACAAGATGCGGGACCTGCGTTCTTGAGTGCCGCGGCTGGTAAAGCGGCGGACCAACATCTTTCCCTTGCCCTCACCACCACACCGCTGACAAGGAGGGCGGTACCAGCTGTCTCACTCTCTAGCCCTCAGGGCCTGCCCACCCCTGCCCCTGTCTACAGCGACAGCGCTACTGTGCTGCCCAGGTGCGGTGCAGGACCCGCTCTCCTGAGTGCTGCAGCTGGTGAGGGGCAGGACCGTCCCCCTAGTGCTACACTCAGTGAGGGGCAGGGTCAGCTCTGTACAGCCCTGTCTTCTTGTCCTTCGGTGGACAGCAACATGGACCACAATTGCAATAGGGCTATGAACCCAGACATGGGCACTGGCAGCAGCCCCAGGCCTAGACATCACCATGGCCCTGGGTGGCAATAAAGGCATCCACCTCAGTCCTCTCCTCACTGCTTTCACCTCTGTCCACAGGACACGAACCATTCTGTCTCTCTCTCCCACACAACACCATACTTTTGCTCACTATAATGGGGCTTGACTGCCTGGTGCCAGAAGGTGCCAGAGGTACCTCGGTTTTGTCCTCAGCACCCAGGGTGGACTGCCCCAGGCATGCATGTGGGTAATTGAACATGGCACTGGGCAGGGCTGTGTTTTCTCTTCAGAACCCGGGGCAAGAAACAGCCCTCTCCAGAAGACTTAGCAAAGGACAACAGCTCTGCCAGCACCTCAGTGATGTCTCCTAGGAAGAATTGCTTGAACTCCTGACCTCCAGAGCTGTATACTGGGTGTCGAGAATGCAGCCCAGTTGGTAAACTGCTTGTTTGACACTCATGAAGCTCTGGCTTCTATCCTCAGTGCCCAACAAAATGGGATGTGTGCCTGTAACTGCAGCACTTGGGAGGTGTGGAGGCAGGATGATCAGACGTTCAAGGTTATTCTTGACTATTGGCCAATTGGAGGCTAACCTGGGCTATAATGAGACATCATCTTAAAAGAAGGTGATAAATCTTTGAGTTTCTAAATGTGTGGTGATTTGTCATAGCAAGCCCTTGAGAATGCCCAGTGAAGGGGAAACTCAAATCCTGGTACTAATTCTTACAAGGCCTTTTAACGTAATTTAGCCCTCAGTATGTTCCAGCATAGGGCATAGGGTTGGATCTGTGGGCAGAGTACCTTGCAGGTAGGAAGTGTTTGGTGAACAGGACTTGGGTTGCTGCATCGAGTCTGCAGGTTCTGGAGAAGGTGCTGGTGAAGACTCTCCCTTTATGTCACCTGGATGTTACCCAAGTGTCCCTTGTGCTCAAAGAACTGAAGAAGAGGAAGTATTCATGTCAAAAGCAAACACGGAGAAGGGCACTGGTCAATATTAGTACATCTCTTCACTGTGTCTGATGAGTGAGCAAAAGGAGCTGGTTTGGGCAACTGGGGGGGGGCAAACCGCTGCCGGGAGTGGGATGTTAGCTACCTTTGATGCTTTGTTCTTTTTACCTTGGAGAACCAGGCTGGGAGCCCTGGCTGGGAGGCAGGGCTATTCCAGGAACACTTGATGGTGTCTGCAGTTAATTCCATAGGTGCCAGTGAGGATCTAGCCCCAGGAGGCTCTGGGCTCTAAGCCTGGTATTTGAGCTGGTGAGGGCAGCAGGAGTCACATGAGGCTCCAGAGTAGAATATCCTCCCGGTCATTTGTGTCTGTGGCCCAGGTGAATCACTCAGGATGGATGGGTGTTCCTGCAGCCAGGCTATTGAACATGTGTATATGAACGTACCTCAAATCACTATCCTAGGCCCACAGTCCTATCATCTGGTAGCTCAGCATATCTGTGCATAGAACTGTTCATACCTGTGTCCAAGAAGTGACAACATTAACCAAGATGTCACCATGCCATGCCATCTCTTCATCCTCAGACACCCATTTCCCTCTGACACCAGTCCCTGTGACCTTGTGTGTGTGTATATGTAATGGTGCATATGCAACCTCATGCTCACATACATGCCCTCTCTTCTCCCACACACGATGGGACTCTCCTGACCACTGTGACAGATGTGTGTTTGGAGAGTGATGGGTGTGACAGGGGACACTGGGTCAGCCTCACTGTCTTCTGTTCCCTTTTGCATGAAGGACCAACGTGTGACCAAGATCAGGGCTCATTGTTGGGGATCAGGGCTCAGACAGCCTCCTGCCCTCCTTCCAAGAATCATATTTCTGGAAGAGCATGAGACACAAGGCTATCCCTCTGCCCTCTGGGCACCCTTGCTTCTGAACCTTGATTGGGCTTGCCTGGGATAGCTGGGAACACTCCAGGGAAGAGTCCTCCTTCAGAGAGCTACATATCCTTGAGCTGAAACGGCCCAGCTCCAGACACAGTTGAACAGTTCTATGTGCAGATAGCCAGCAGCTGGAAGCCATGCTTGCGTACGTGGCAGACCCATCACATGGGGACGGGAGACACTTGACAAGGCCGTGTTTGCAGAGAAAACACTTGCAACCACACACAAACCTGCCACTTCCTTGTGGTCTGCAGGCTGCAGTGGGGGAGCCTCAAAAAGCAGCCTGCGCCCTTGTTCTCCAGGCGAAGCATCCCAAGACGGAGTGTCCATCTGCTCTGAGAACCTCTGAGGTAGGAATGAGCTGGGTGGCCACTTCTCCCTCTGGTCCGTGGGGGTGCTACCTCCAGTCATCTCCTCGCAACAGGCACCACCTGTCCCTGGCCTTGCAAAGAACATTGGCAAGTGCCATCTTGCTGGGTTTCAGGTAGCTCATTAGAGCATTGGCTTCTTATTTCTGCAGCCGGGGCGAGACCCCCTCTTTCAGAGCTGGGTTTTCTTGGGGGTCTTGGGCCACTCTTAAGATATTCCTCAATTGGCTCATGGAGATGGGTCATCCCTGGTAAGATCTAGACAACTGAACACCAGGCTAATCTGGCACAAATGGACCGGGCACCTGACTCCAAGTGACTGGGCTGTAGGATGCTAGGGCCGAGTGCTCTTCACAGGACAGGCAACTGCCTTCTGCATCCCCATCAGCGACCTTGCCGGTCTCGGGTCTTGACCCTCTGCACTGCTCCCCCAAACCCTGCCTGCTGTGTCACTTCAGGAAAGGGCACATTTACTTGAGGGTCTTGGCTATTTTTAGACACTCTTGTGGTGTCTTACAAAGTAGGTAATTCCTAACATAGAAATGTAAAAATGGATGTATTGAGGTTTGGAGCAGGGCTCTGACCACCATTCAGCCTGAATACAAGCTGGGATGAGACATGAGTGCCCAAGGGTGGATGGATATCTGCTCAG